ATGGACATCATAAGAGGGATCTTGAACATGACGAACTTGAAGAACAAAAGAGGGATCCTGGAAAGGAACACTATGGATATGGTTCTAATAAACATGGACATGGACATGGACATCATAAGAGGGATCTTGAACATGACGAACTTGAAGAACAAAAGAGGGATCCTGGAAAGGAACACTATGGATATGGTTCTAATAAACATGGACATGGACATGGACATCATAAGAGGGATCTTGAACATGACGAACTTGAAGAACAAAAGAGGGATCCTGGAAAGGAACACTATGGACATGGTCATAATAAAGGACATGGTTATGGACATGATGGATATGGACATGGACATGGACATGGAGATAAGCATCACTAAGGGACATAAAGGAAAGGTCATAAAAAAAAAACATTATAAATGTTTAAGATAAATGTAACTAAATGTGATGCTTTCGTCTAAGATTCTATGGATCTTTTTTATAATGAACGTTATAATTTGAAAATTTTTGAAAAGCCATTGTTTATTAGATATTGTATAAAGCCTTGTTGTATTATTTGTATTATCTGTATTATCAATGTAATTTTGTAAAAATATATTATATTCATTTAATAAATTCTCTCAAAAATTATCTGTTTTAAAAAATATTCGCTATGTCGTATCTATAATAGATCAATCTTGGTCAATTTGACCGTCTTGTATGAAGTTTATCGCAGATTAAAATTGGTCTAATTGCATATATGTATATCGTGCTTGTATGCAAAGTCGTAAAATTGCGGCAACTTATAAGATTTTTTTTATGCTATCGTAAACTGTCAAGTTATCAGTAATATATTTTTATTACTATATATTTTTCTTTCGTAATATAGTTAACTCTTTCTAAATGCAACCCCTCTAAGTGCGACTTCTTTATAAATACAACTTTAAATTCTAACCCATGTATATGTATACAGTAAGTGCAATTTTTCTTAAAACGTTGTTCTACCAAAAATGGGGATGGCTAAAGTCATGTACCCACGTGATTTTGAAGTTCTAATTAAAATTAGGGTTAGGTCTACTTGAATGTAAGGGTAAGTATATAGGTAAAATTGCCTCCCCAACATTTTTTATTAATCTCAAAGACAGGTTTAGACTGCCGTTTTTTATATTTTTGCAGTTTCTTTATTTTTTGACTTCAAAATTCGCGATTCCAATTGGTTGATTTACAAAAAAAAAGTCACATGGGTACATGGCTTTAGACTACTCACGAAATGGAAATTTTAATAACAATTTCCATAATTCCTTTATTTCGGTGTTACGGGATCGGTAAGCCACGATGGCTGGAAATATCAAGTTCGAATGTGCTGTTAGTCTCGAACTATTTGAGGCTGGTTACAGTACTAACCAGTGTTTAAAATTCGATGTTCTCATGATTTCACGAGAACACTAAAATTTTTTTAAGAACATTAAGACTTAAAATAAAGTTCTCTTATTTGAGAACATTTTGGATATATAAA